TTCAATCAGGGCAAAATATGGTCCAGGCTATTTAAATACTAGCCACTTAAGGCCACACTTCCAGAGTTCAGGTGGAGAGTTGCATGCAGCGCTCAGGTAACTTCATGTACAAATGGCCAGAATTAGTCCTCACAGGCTGTTGCCTCATTTTCCTATGTACTAGTTGGCCACAGTCACTGTGAGGATCACACTGAAGACACAAGTCCCCACTACTTCAGCTAAAAAAGCAGCCTTGCTAGCTATCAAAAGGTAATAGGCTGTTTGCTTGGTCCAGCCACTAGAGGGAGACTTGATCAAGTTCACTGGACAGCATATACATGATCACAGTAAATGTGCATGCACATTAGGCACACATATACACCCTTAACTTCTTTGAAAATATAGACCTTATTTTTAGAATGAAATAGTTAACCTAAAAGGGCATCTATTCAAACTGGCATGTTAAAGATGCCACGGTATGCCCACATCTTGAATACTGCTTGCAGATGTGGTCACCTCATCTCAAAAAAGATATACAGTAAAACCTGTGGTATCCAGCATGCTCAGGGATTAGGGCGTTCCAGTTATCTAAAAATTCCAGTTATCTGAGGGTCTCATCAACCTAAGAAAAAACAATGAACAATAATACTAAAACTCAGGTTTTTAATATTGTTATTTTTTAGTGTGAGGCAGTTGGTCTCGCATTTCTGTTTTGAGTTAAAGATGATTAGTACTTCTTAAATAAAAAAATGGTTATGCCAATCACGGTAAATCAAGTCAGGCCTGTGCACCTGAAGATGTGACAGTATTGTGGCTGAGGGCAATGCCGGTTAACAAAGTTTTCTGGTTAACAGAGTGCCGGATAACAAAGGTTTCACTGTACTCGCATTGGAAAAAGTTCAGAAAAGGGCAACAAATTATTAGGTGTTTGGAACAGCTGCCATAGGAGGAGGGATTAATAAGAGTGGGACTTTTTAGCTTAGAAAAGAGGAGACTAAGAAGGGATATAATGAAGGCCTATAAAATCATGACTGGTGTGGAGAAAGTAGATAAAGAAACATTATTTATTTGCTCCCATAACACACGAACCAGGGAGCACCAAATGAAATTAATATGTAACAGTTTTAAAACAAACAAAAGGAAGTATTTTTTCACACAATAAATAGTCAACCTGTGGAACTCCTTGCCAGGGGATGTTCTAAAGACCAGGACTTTAACAAGGTTCAGAAAAGAGATAGATAAATTCATAGAGGATAGGTTCATCAATGGCAATTAGCCAGGATGGGTAGGAATGGTGTTCCTAGCTGCTATTTGTCAGAAGATGGAAATGGGTGGCAGGGGAAGGATCATTTGATGATTACCTGTTCTGTTCATTCCCTCTGGGCAGCTTGTATTGGCCACTGTCGGAAGACAAGGTACTAGGCTAGATGGACCTTTGGTCTGACCCAGTATGGCCGTTCTTATGTTGTTATGTTCTTAAAGATGCTAAATTCAGGTTCAGTAATACAGCCTACTATATTACGTGTGCAACTCAGAAACAACAAGGAGTCCTGTGTCATCTTAAAGACTAACAAATGTATTAGGACACCACCAGCTTTTGTGGGCCACTACGCAGTCACTGAAGTGGAATTTTCAGTGTGGCAGGGATTTATACTTACATACCAGGATGGGAGTGTGACACTGCTTTGTGGAAGATCAGTGCTAATGAGACTAATTCAATCAGGGTGGATGTGGCCCACTTCCAACAGTGCTATGAAGGTAAAGATACCAAAAGGAGTAAATTACTTTTTGTAATGAGCTAGCCATTCCCAGTCCTTATTCAGACCCATTTTGATGGTGTCAAGTTTGCATATGAATTCCAGCTCAGCACTTTAAATGCTGCAGTCTGTTTTTGAAAGTTTTTTGCTTAAGCCTGGTAACTCTCAAGTCTGTAACTGTGTGTCCAGGCAAACTGTAGTGTTCTCCTACTGGTTTTTGAATGTTAGTATTTAAGGTGCCACAGGACTCCTCGCTGATTTTGCTGAAACAGACAACCACAACTACCTCTCTGAAACATGTTCAACTCAATTGTTTTAGATAAAGCTGGGACATTGAGAGGATGATTCAGAATGACACAAAGTACCTCTGGGTCCTCATAGATTTCTGAATCCATCTGTGGGCTTAAATATGGAAAAAGACAGAGCCTGTCTTCTTTTCTCAGGCTGAATTTCCTGCCATCTGCTAGTCTCAGTTCCATGTCTGCAAGGACTTCTCTGCTGATAAAAGGAGCTGCTGTCAAACGCAGTGTTTCATTCAATACGCTGTCTGCACAAGAGGAAAAGCAAAGAGAGAATTAGGGCATCCAGTAAACAAGAGTGAGCTAACTGCAGGCTGCTTGTTTTACATCTATGCATAATGAAGGGAATTGCACACCTGCACAAAATAAATTGGCTTACTGAAGTTCCACCACATAATATACAGGCAGTCCCCGGGTTACATGGATCCGACTTACATCGGATCCCTACTTACAAACGGGGTGAGGCAACCCCGCACTAGCTGCTTCCCCCCAGCAGACCAGGGAGACGCGAAGCTAGCGCCCCCCCTCCCCCAGCAGACCAGGGAGATGCGGAGCGGCTTTTCTCAGCAGACACCTCAGCTTAAGAATAAAGGACTAAGGGAAGTGAGGTGTGGGAGAATAAAACTGAGCTCTGGAGAAATGTTTGGCTAGAGTTTCCCCTACAATATGTACCAGTTCCGACTTACATACAAATTCAACTTAAGAACAAACCTACAGTCCCTATCTTATATGTAACCCGGGGACTGCCTGTACAGCATTCCTGTACGGCTACCCCTCTGATACTTTTCTCAGCAGACACCTCAGCTTGAGAATAAAGGACTGAGGGAAGTGAGGTGTGGGAGAATAAAACTGAGCTCTGGAGAAATGTCTGGCTAGAGTTTCCCCTACAATATGTACCAGTTCCGACTTACATACAAATTCAACTTAAGAACAAACCTACAGTCCCTATCTTGTACGTAACCCGGGGACTGCCTGTACTACCAAATGGCGGATATACAGGCTGTTGCCTCATTTTCCTATGTACTAGTTGGCCACAGTCACTGTGAGGATCACACTGAAGACACAAGTCCCCACTACTTCAGCTAAAAAAGCAGCCTTGCTAGCTATCAAAAGGTAATAGGCTGTTTGCTTGGTCCAGCCACTAGAGGGAGACTTGATCAAGTTCACTGGACAGCATATACATGATCACAGTAAATGTGCATGCACATTAGGCACACATATACACCCTTAACTTCTTTGAAAATATAGACCTTATTTTTAGAATGAAATAGTTAACCTAAAAGGGCATCTATTCAAACTGGCATGTTAAAGATGCCACGGTATGCCCACATCTTGAATACTGCTTGCAGATGTGGTCACCTCATCTCAAAAAAGATATACAGTAAAACCTGTGGTATCCAGCATGCTCAGGGATTAGGGCGTTCCAGTTATCTAAAAATTCCAGTTATCTGAGGGTCTCATCAACCTAAGAAAAAACAATGAACAATAATACTAAAACTCAGGTTTTTAATATTGTTATTTTTTAGTGTGAGGCAGTTGGTCTCGCATTTCTGTTTTGAGTTAAAGATGATTAGTACTTCTTAAATAAAAAAATGGTTATGCCAATCACGGTAAATCAAGTCAGGCCTGTGCACCTGAAGATGTGACAGTATTGTGGCTGAGGGCAATGCCGGTTAACAAAGTTTTCTGGTTAACAGAGTGCCGGATAACAAAGGTTTCACTGTACTCGCATTGGAAAAAGTTCAGAAAAGGGCAACAAATTATTAGGTGTTTGGAACAGCTGCCATAGGAGGAGGGATTAATAAGAGTGGGACTTTTTAGCTTAGAAAAGAGGAGACTAAGAAGGGATATAATGAAGGCCTATAAAATCATGACTGGTGTGGAGAAAGTAGATAAAGAAACATTATTTATTTGCTCCCATAACACACGAACCAGGGAGCACCAAATGAAATTAATATCTAACAGTTTTAAAACAAACAAAAGGAAGTATTTTTTCACACAATAAATAGTCAACCTGTGGAACTCCTTGCCAGGGGATGTTCTAAAGACCAGGACTTTAACAAGGTTCAGAAAAGAGATAGATAAATTCATAGAGGATAGGTTCATCAATGGCAATTAGCCAGGATGGGTAGGAATGGTGTTCCTAGCTGCTATTTGTCAGAAGATGGAAATGGGTGGCAGGGGAAGGATCATTTGATGATTACCTGTTCTGTTCATTCCCTCTGGGCAGCTTGTATTGGCCACTGTCGGAAGACAAGGTACTAGGCTAGATGGACCTTTGGTCTGACCCAGTATGGCCGTTCTTATGTTGTTATGTTCTTAAAGATGCTAAATTCAGGTTCAGTAATACAGCCTACTATATTACGTGTGCAACTCAGAAACAACAAGGAGTCCTGTGTCATCTTAAAGACTAACAAATGTATTAGGACACCACCAGCTTTTGTGGGCCACTACGCAGTCACTGAAGTGGAATTTTCAGTGTGGCAGGGATTTATACTTACATACCAGGATGGGAGTGTGACACTGCTTTGTGGAAGATCAGTGCTAATGAGACTAATTCAATCAGGGTGGATGTGGCCCACTTCCAACAGTGCTATGAAGGTAAAGATACCAAAAGGAGTAAATTACTTTTTGTAATGAGCTAGCCATTCCCAGTCCTTATTCAGACCCATTTTGATGGTGTCAAGTTTGCATATGAATTCCAGCTCAGCACTTTAAATGCTGCAGTCTGTTTTTGAAAGTTTTTTGCTTAAGCCTGGTAACTCTCAAGTCTGTAACTGTGTGTCCAGGCAAACTGTAGTGTTCTCCTACTGGTTTTTGAATGTTAGTATTTAAGGTGCCACAGGACTCCTCGCTGATTTTGCTGAAACAGACAACCACAACTACCTCTCTGAAACATGTTCAACTCAATTGTTTTAGATAAAGCTGGGACATTGAGAGGATGATTCAGAATGACACAAAGTACCTCTGGGTCCTCATAGATTTCTGAATCCATCTGTGGGCTTAAATATGGAAAAAGACAGAGCCTGTCTTCTTTTCTCAGGCTGAATTTCCTGCCATCTGCTAGTCTCAGTTCCATGTCTGCAAGGACTTCTCTGCTGATAAAAGGAGCTGCTGTCAAACGCAGTGTTTCATTCAATACGCTGTCTGCACAAGAGGAAAAGCAAAGAGAGAATTAGGGCATCCAGTAAACAAGAGTGAGCTAACTGCAGGCTGCTTGTTTTACATCTATGCATAATGAAGGGAATTGCACACCTGCACAAAATAAATTGGCTTACTGAAGTTCCACCACATAATATACAGGCAGTCCCCACCTTATAGACTAACTGAAGTGTAGGAGCATAAGCTTTCGTGGGCAAAGACCCACTTCGTCAGATGCATGTCTTATGCTCCTACACTTCAGTTAGTCTATAAGGTGCCACAGGACTCCTCGTCGCTTTTGCAGATTCAGACTAACACGGCTACCCCTCTGATACTTTTCTCAGCAGACACCTACAACCGGGGTGAGGCACCCCCGCACTAGCTACTTCCCCCCAGCAGACTAGGGAGATGCGAAGCTAGCGCGTCCCCCTCCCCCCGCCCAGCAGACCAGGGAGAGGTGGAGCGGCTTTTCTCAGCAGACACCTCAGTTTGAGATTAAAGGACTGAGGGAAGTGAGGTGTGGGAGAATAAAACTGAGCTCTGGAGAAATGTTTGGCTAGAGTTTCCCCTACAATATGTACCAGTTCCGACTTACATACAAATTCAACTTAAGAACAAACCTACAGTCCCTATCTTGTACGTAACCCGGGGACTGCCTGTACTACCAAATGGCGGATATAAAGGGTTTCTCTCTCCTGCCTTCCATGGGAAACTGAACTAGACATAAAAGAGGGACCATAGAAACACTATCCATGTCTTCCAGGACTTTCTCTGCCATTCTCCTGTAAAAAGGTGTGAATCCAACTATTTGCTCCATGTGAGACACTCAGGAACTAACTGCTTTGTTACTGAATAATGTGTGCAGCTTTCTGATTGCAAAGTGGCTTGTGCCGTTAACATACATATGGTCAAAACCAAGGACAAATCCCAATCTCATTTAAAATCCATGTTTGACCAGGCTTGCATGGTGATGTGGTCTCACCACTCCGTGCTTGTTTTCTGAGCCTCAAAGCTCCATTCCACTGTGGTCAGCACCTGTGTGAAAGCCCCAAGAAATCTTCTGTCAGGCGAATGCTGCATGGATTCCGCATCGTTTTGCAGCGACAAGAATAACTTGGCTGCCACTCGTGAAGTGGTAGTGAGACCTACCAGCATTTTTGTCAATAGCTGGGGATCCATTCCCGCTTACTGGGGTGGCAGATCGCACGGCACAGAAGCCATTGAAAAATGGCACCAAATGCAGATAGAAATACAAGGTGGGATGCGAAGCGATGCACCACAGGGCATTCGGACAGGGCCTAGGATGCCCCGGGCTTCCCCACAAACCTCTGCGGCAGAAGAGAAAGAGGTGCTCTGTGGGATAGCTACCCAGAATGCTCTGCTCAGAAAGGGCTACAAGTGCTGCAAAAGTGGCCACACTGATGCGCTGGCCACTGACAGTGTGGACACCCAATAGTGGTGTTGGTGCTGCACTGCTACTGCCAGCACTTTACATCTGCCAGTGTAGACATGGCCTCAGACCTGAAAAAGATCTGTGTGGCCCAAAAGCTTGTTTCTCTCACCAACAGACATTGATCCAATAAAAGATATTACATCACCCATGTTGCGTCTTTGGGTGCTTCTACACAGCACCCGAAACTCAAAATAAGATACGCAATATGCACTATGCAAATTGTGTCTCTTATTTGGAATCTATTTCAAAATAGCTTATTTTGAAATTTGGCACGTCTACACAATGCCAAATTTCAAAATAACGTGCTATTTTGAGCCATTACTTATCTCTTGTGCAACAAGGTTTACCAGAATGGCAAAATAGCATGCCTGTTATTTCGAAAAATATTTTGAAATACCAGGCAGCTTGTGTGGATGTGGGGTAGCTATTTTGGGATACCTCTGCAAAGGGATAGCCTTATTTTTTTTATTACAAAAGGATTTTTTTGTTTGGAACTTTAAATGAATTTATTATAAAAATATGTACAAAATAAAGATGGCCAAATCAAAATGAAGTGTTTAAACATCTGAAAAAAATGCGACATTTCAATTGACCCAATCAAAAAACAAATTGGATTTTGCCCTTTGTGAAAATTGTCAAGATTTCAACTTTTTGCCCCAATTTAGGACAATAAACTGTTTTGGAATCTTGAAAATTTGGGAAAATCTGTTCCTTCCCAGCTCTTTTAAGAACGCTGTGCTTTCATAAAAACCACAGTTGAATATTACAATAGATTCAGATTACTTGCTCATTGCAGCCAACTATTTCAAGTCATTAACTCCAGTCTAAAAGACTATACTTCATATACTAACACAGTGACTGCCACTTCTCTAATAACACTTCTTGAAAAAAGTTCTCATTAAATCTGTTCAGTGCTGCGATTAAATCTGGGGTGACTGCTCGCAAAAGCATTATTTACTCTCACTATGCAGAGAGCAGGATAAAAATCAGAATGTACCATGTAGAATCATTTTATAGAATAGAAAAACAAAAAAGAGGTGAGCACTGCGCATGCTAGATAATAGAAAACATAACAAAAGTGAAGAGATGTTCCCTTACATATGGACAAAATAAGAATTACATTTTCCCAAACAGATTACAAACCAACTTCTATGGCTTAATATTATGTCTAGCTTTGTCACTGAAGAATGGTGTATAATTAAACCTTTTTACTTTTCAGTTAGCATAAGTTAGTTAATTTAAAACTTATAAAACCCTGAATAGTGCCTAGCAGGCTATAGTGATAGAAATGTAGCCGTGTTAGTCTGGGATAGCTGAAGCAAAATGCAGGACAATGTAGCACTTTAAAGACTAACAAGATGGTTTATTAGATGATGAGCTTTCGTGGGCCAGACCCACTTCCTCAGATCAAATAGTGGAAGAAAGTAGTCACAACCATATATACCAAAGGATACAATTAAAAAAAATGAACAAATATGAAAAGGACAAATTACATTGCAGAACAGGAGGGGGATGCAGGGGTGGGGGGGGGGGGGAAGGAAGGTAAGTGTCTGTGAATTGATGATATTAGAGGTAGGGAGAGTGGGATGTTTGTGAGTTAATGGTATTAGAGGTGATAATTGGGGAAACTATCTTGGTAATGGGTGAGATAGTTCAAATGTTTGTTGAGTCCTTTTTGGAAAGTGTCGAATTTTAACATGAATGACAGTTCAGAGGATTCCCTTTCAAGTGCAGATGTAAAAGGTCTTTGTAGCAGAATGCAGGTGGTTAAGTCATTGAGAGAGTGTCCTTTCTGGTTAAAATGGCAAGAAACTGTTTTCTCTTTGTGATCTTGTCTGATATCTGTTTTGTGGGCATTAATCCTTTGGCGAAGTGTCTGAGATGTTTGTCCAATGTACATAGCAGACGGACACTTTCGGCACATGATAGCATAGATTATATTTCTGGATGCGCAGGAATATGTGTTCTTGATCTTATAACTCACTTGGTTAGGTCCAATAATGGTATCAGCAGAATGAATATGTGGACAAAGCTGGCAACGGGGTTTGTTGCAAGGGAAGGGACCAGGGTTGGTATTAGTGTGGTATGTCCTGTGGTGGTTGGTAAGAATCATCTTGAGGTTAGGTGGTTGTCTATAGGAGACTATGGGTCTGTCTCCCAGAACCTCTATAGCAGGCTATAGGCCAGGTTTTTAAATCTTTAAGAAATACAGTTGTGAGAGCAAGGTGAAAATGGCAGTTGCATGCCTACATTTTGACATTCATTTAGTTGGAATTTCTTCTGCAAAGCTAAACACAGCTGTATGCAGATTTTCTCTGATTTGTATGTGCAAGCACATTAATTGCACATGCAAATTAAGACTACAATTTCCTGCACATTTTGTGCCTGCAAATTTTGCCTAAATGCCTTGAAAATTGCCCCTAAGTTTCCAAAGAGAATTTAAGTCAAATGATACATGGATTTCCGGAAAAGATACGTACTAACCAAAAACAGGAGTGCTGTCCAGCATCTCTTGGCTAATGCCTTGCATCCGTTTTTGTCCTCTGTTTCTAATTACTTTCTCTAATTCACCTTGAACTGCTGCCATGGCTGCATGATGCTTTAGAAGAAACAGGAGAAGCCAAAAAACGGCAGGACCTGCATTACACTATAAATAAAACACCCACAAGGAATCAGAGTTATCGAAATTGTAAGCAGAAGAATATGAACAAACAGAACTTCCATTACATCATAAAAGGAAAATGTAAGTCAATGCCAATTCAGTTTTCATTACAAACAAAATCTTTTCAGTCAATAAATGGAAAGGAATGTGTTGGCAACACTTGAAAATTAACATAAAACGACGCCCGAAGTACTGATTTTAAAGGACGATAAGTATCTTTCAAGTTCTTGTGCATTATTAATGAGAGTATCCCAGAACTAAATGGCTGCCTCAGAAGCTTGAAAGATCACACAAGTCTGCCATTAAAAATGGGGATAGCAGAAGGAGCTGGATCAAGTATCCTATAGACATCTAAGCAGACTAGTGTATGGCAGCTAGGGATGTAAAATCCCATTTAATTAGCTAACCAGTTAAATATATCGTTTAACTGGTTAACCGATTAAAAGGTGGCAAGCAGGTGAGCTGGAAGGCCTCCCACCACAGGCAGGGGTTGCTCCAGCCCAGTCAAAGCAGCCCCTGCCTGCAGCGTCCTCCCTCTCCCCCTCACCATCACAGGCAGAGGCTGCACTGACTGGAACATCAGAACAGCCCCTGCCTGTGACGGGGCACCTGGGCCTACAGCAGGCAGGGTCTGTGCTGGAACAGCCCCGTCCGTGGTGCTGGAGCAGCCCCCTGTCTGCGGCAGGTGGAGAGCTATGGCAGCCGCACCAGTTAACCTGTTAAATCTATACATCCCTAATGGTAGTAGCAGAAAGTTAAGACATAAAATGGAACCTACAGTAGGAACCTATTGTACTCATTCTAAGATTCTCTGAAAGCAACAGGAGAGTTTACAAAGACAGCTATAGACCAGGATATAATTATCAGTGTTTCATCTACAGTATAGAAAAGTACTTATATGCCCATTAGATAAATACTCTCACTCCCCTTTACATCCAGGCAGAAAGAATTCTATCACAGGGATTACATCCCACCAGTTGCACTGTGGTGAGTGGGATGTCATAAACACAGAAAGTGAATTCAGAGAGCCTTCACCAAGCTTATGACCCAATTAAGTCCCACATACCCCTATTTTAGTGGGTTTGGTTCCATTTCATCTGTAGAGAGCATCTCTCACTAAGTTGTATTGTATATAAATCTATCAGATTCAATAAAGATTAGCAAGAAAAAAGTACCACGAATTAGTCAATGTCACCATTTTATTATTTGCCCACCAGTGTTCCCTGTAAGCTGTGCACTTAGGAGGCCACTCAGGCACATTGGCACATGCCTCAATACACATAACATTCTGTACAGGCAGTCCCCGGGTTATGTACAAGATAGGGACTGTAGGTTTGTTCTTAAGTTGAATCTGTATGTAAGTCGGAACTGGCGTCCAGATTCAGCCGCTGCTGAAACTGATCAGTTTC